AAATCTGGCCTCAGACACTTGACACTTACTAGCTGTGTGACCCTGGGCAAGTCACTTAATCCTAATTGCCTCACTAACAAAAAAAAAAAGAAAGAAAAGAAAATGACTAATATGGAAATGCTTTACATAACTGCACACATGTAACCTATATCACAGTGCTCATCATCTCAGGAAGGGGGGAGGAGAGAGAGAAGGAAAAGTAGAATTCAGAACTCAAAACTTTAAAGGAAAAAAAAAGATGAGCCTGGATGGGGAGAGAGCAGAGGTCAAAGGCTGTCACAAAAGCCAAGGTTGGTGGCCCATAGAGGACCTATGCTAAGGTGCCTGGGGTGGGGCTAGAGAAGAGTGGACAGACGGGATGGACAGAATGGGAGACAGGAAGGGAATGCCGGAGCTATGGCTGCTCAAAGTTCACCCTCCGCAGCTACCACAACGCTCTCATGCTGATGCAGTGGGAAGAGTCCAGAAACATGTGAAAGGTCATACTCTAAGAGTCAGAGTGTAAGGAAGCCCCCAGTGGGCCACTCCAGGAATCTGGCCTTGGCCTTGAATAGTTTAACATTTTGATCAATAACTTAGAAAAAGCCGCAGAGTGCGTTCTTATCAAGTTTGCAGGCAACCCAAAGCTGGGAGAGAAAAGAAACTCACAGAATGCAGAGGCAAGGTCTAAAAAGGGCAGAAAAAGCCAGCTATACCCATATAAGAGCTCACACTTGAGTTTTACAGGCATAAATGGGGAGAGGGATGATCAGATGATTCTGAAAAGGCTGAGGTGGGGAGGGGACTCAATAAATGGAAGCTCCCATTACCAAGTCTTGCCCCCCCCCACGCCCCCTGGCCTGCTGAGGCCGCACCTCAGTGAGGCCACTGCGACACTGAAAAGCACCCAGGGAGAGGCAACCAAGGTGATGGGGAGGGGGGAAGGGAGGGCTGCAGAGCATGAGACCCAGCTGCCATCTTTAAATGCTGGAAAGGCAGCGATCAGCCATGCTCTGCTTGGCCAAAAGAGGAATGTTACAGGGAGCCAGAAGCAGACTCCAGACCAAGAAAACTTACTCATGGTTCTCTCTGCCCAAGGAAAAGAGGCAGCCTTCAGATGAGACAGAGGAGTCACCTCCATGGGAGATCTTCATGTAAAGACTGAAGGAGAAAGCCTCATCAGGCGAGTTGGAAAGGGGATTCCTGATCAAGTCTGGGTGGGCTAGCAGCCTCAGCAGTCCCTTCCAGTCCTGAGTCTATAACAAGTCACATTCTCATGTTTTGCTGAGGCTCTTCCTTCCTCACTACAATAAAGCACACAGTCCTTTCCCTGAGTCTATTTCATGTTTTATCTATATATAGTGTCTCCATTGAGAAACCCTACCCCCCACCCCTTCCCTTGCATGATCTTCACATCTCTCAGTCAGATCTCATTTCTCTCATTGCCTACACAGGATTTCTAAGTATCTGACTTCCACATGGTCAAAACAGAACTTGGAGCCTCTAAGATAGGCTCTTTAGGCATAAAGAAATTCATTAAGTTAAGAGCTGACTAGAAAAGCATGGAAAAATTAATGTAAATTGATACAACACGAAGTGAGTAGAACCAGGAAAGCAATGTAGACAGGTCTCCACGGGCATTCTTCCATCTTTCCTTTTCCCCTGAAGCTGAGGCTCTTTGGGAATCAATCAACAAATGCTGATGAAATGCCTACTATGTGGCAGGCACTGAGGAATCAGAAGACAAAAAAGGAAACCTAGCTCTCAGGGACCCTAAAGCCCCCAGTCAAACAACAGTCTCTCAGCAGCCCTCGGAATCAGGCTTCCCTCCTACATTACTCGGGGCACATCCACCTCACGCCCCCCTCCCCATCTTTCTCTCTAGGGCTCTCCCTTTCAGAGCAGGTGCTGACCTGCGTGACTACCAGATATTTCCTCACCAGGAACTCCCTGCTCCCCTCTCACCCAGGGGAGTGGCATGAGGAAAAGGATTTCAAGTGCACACTGTGTATTGAGGACAGAACATTTTTCCAACCAGCAAGTTCAGCTTTTAGTTTCCAAAGGCAGATGTGTTTAACAAATAAAAGAGACTTGCCATATGCATAAAGTATTTGTAAACTTTGAAAGCTCCGATGCAAACAAAAAACCCAGCCCTAAACAGGTAAAATCTTCTCCAACAAATCCTGGTCAAAATGTCCACTCTCCCTCTTGGGAAAAATATGAAAACCTAATTTTGTAGGTATTTTTTAAGCTGGAGGCCAAGACATTTACACTAATTTTATAAACTTTAAAACATACTTTAAATGAACTGAAAGCACACATTCATACAACTAAAATGTAGACATTAAATTTTAAAAGATGTTTGACAGTGACTTAAATTAACCATTAACTTGATTCAAGTTAACAGGACCCTACTGTTGCAATTGTGGCCTGTTATCAGCCTCTACCTCTTCTTCCCTTCTTTCCCCTGCTTCTTGGGGAAGTGCCCTTTCCCCCTCACCATGAAAGGCAGTGGGCTGGGATATGGAAGGAGGACGAGCTGTAGGGATCCTGGCCTGGCCACTTGCTTCCACTGTGACCTCAGGCAAGTCACTTTCCTGGGCCTCCCAGTTTGCATGCCAGTAAAACAGGAAGGAGCCTAGCCTGGAAGCTCTAAAGCTCCGGCTGTTTAAACAGTGGCCAATGCATCTCTCACAGGCTTGCCATGTCTCAGCACTGAGACAGCAGGCGATCTCCAGGCCAGGAAGGCAGGGCCTGACTCCCCATCCCTGGTCCAGGATCTCCCAGCTCCCTTCTAGCTCCTGGACAAGGCACTGACTCAGCCTCAGTTTTCTCAAGTGCTGAACAGGATAATAATGTTTCCTGGATCCACCTGCCTCCTGCAGTTGTCATACACTTTCTAGCCCCATGGAAACCTGCATGGCTATGGCTACAAAGCTGGGCTGTCCTGCCAAACAGATGTCAACACAAGGCATGAACACAAACCTATTCTTCACCAACGTTTCTCCTCAGCACTCTGTAAGTCTGTCCAACGAGTGGCATTTTAGGACTTTCCAGAACGAGTAGAGTGTTGATCTTTCCCCCGCCCTGTTACCTGCCCATTTACAATGGTGGTAAGGTCAGGAAGCCCTGTCCGGTGCCAATGATTATTTCTGATCGCTAACAGTCTGCTTGAAGCAGTGACAAATCCTCAGGACGATGCCGCTCCCAACAGGTCAGTCACAAAACAAGCCCATTTGAGTCTGTCCAGAGAGCAGGGATCCACACAGTCCAGTCACTAAGTCTATTTTTTCCTGCTCTTAAACACTACAGACCTTCCAATGGCTTCCTCTATTACCACCATGTCCAAAACTCTCACATGACTTATGACTGCCACCAGTGGCTGGGATTTTTTTCATATTATTCAAGTTGATCTCAAAAACTAAAGGGTGGAACAAATTCGGCATGAGCACATCTTACAAAGAGAAATCGGCTTCCATTTTTTTCCTAAGTAAACTGCTGAGTCACAGCAATTCGAACTTCCAAAGCCTGATGTGGAGCTGCCATACGAAGTCACCCTTTCAAAGAAGGTACCAGCAGGAAGCACAACTCCAGGAACCGAGGGAAAAACAGCAAATACTCAGTCATTGACCCAAAGCCCGTTTCCCACCTCTTCACACAATTAAGTCTCCGAAAGGTCAAGGGTTAAATGCAGCATTTTTAAAATACAATTTCCCACATTTGAATTCTTGAGCGTGAAAAGTTTTCCTCCATTTTCCGCAAGAAGGAGGGCAAATCCAAGGGGCAGCAACTGGGACCAGAAGAGTTTGTCCCCTTGGCTTACTTGCAATCCAGGCCCTCCACCCCCACCCATCAATCCCAGCAAAGAAGGAGAGAAAAGCCACTCTGGGACACCCTCTGAGAGTACTGGGTCCAGACCCAGGGCTGCCAGGCTGCTGGGGCTCCTCCTCCCCATGATGAGATTTTTGGGCCAATGCCCAGTGTTGTCCTAGGGGTATTTAAGTCCAGGGGAGAGGCAGGCCGGCCGGCCAGAAGCTGTGAGGCTGCCTCAGAGAGATTAAGTGATGACTACCTTAAAGAGCTACCCCTAGGCGGTGGCTGAGGGGTGACCCCAACCCTGAAGAGAGGGCACTAAGGCAGTCTGTAAAGATGACCCCAACCCTAAAGTGCTACGCCTATGTGGTGTCTAAGGGGTGACCCTAACCCTAAAGAAAGATGACGAGGCAGCTAAATGGTGCAGTGGATAGAGCACGGGCCCTGGAGTCAGGAGGACCTGAGTTCAAATCCCATCTCAGACTAGTCATTTGATATTTACTAGCCGCGTGCCCCCGGACAAATCACTTAATCCCAATCGCCTTGCAAAAAAAAAAAAAAGAGATGCCTAAGTGAAGTCTAAGGGGTGCCCCCAACCCTAAAGAGCTACACCTAGGTGGCGTCTAAGGGGCTCGGTTACTGCCCCCCCCAAGGCAGCCACCAGGGCAAGGGAGGTGGGCGGCAGTTTTCCCTCCCGGTGCTCCGCAGCCCGGCCCCCCACCAAATCCCCGGGGGTCTCCCTTTCCTTCTGCCCTGCCCCGACGCTCGCGCTTTGCGGGGCCCTGAAGGGCACACCAAAAAGGAAGTGCTGAGCTTCCCATGGACAGAGGGATGTCAAAGCAAAGCCACCCCTCCCCCGACGCGGCTGCGGCCCAGGCGGCAAGGACGGAGGATCCGGGGCCTCTCCTGGGGGTACCCTTCCCCAGCTGTGTCAAGGGGCCCCTCCTAGGGCTGCCTCAGTTTACTCCCCTAAAAAACCAAGGGCGGGCTTCCCAGATCCGCTGGGACCCTTCAGGTCCAAGATCCCAGGAAGCTGAGCCCCTTCCGTCCCCCTCAGTCCCCCTTACGGCGCAGGCGCGGGGGAGGGGCGCCTGACAGCAGCAGCGGCAGCCCCGGCCCCGCCCCCTCCCCCGCTCCCCCCTCCCGTTTGGCGGCGGCCCCCTCCCCCTCCCCTCTGTAAGGCCCCCCCCGGGGGTGGGGGGTCGCACCGGAAGCGAGGCGAGTCCTTGAGACACTCCTCGAAGTCCACCGTCACCTTCATGCTGCCTTGGCCGAGCGCGGGCCTGACGAGCGGAGGGACGGACACGGACACGGGGCCGGGGCGGAGGCTGAGGCACAGGGAGCCGGACCGGGGCGGAGGCGGAGGCGGGGGCGGGGCCACGGGGAGGACGCGCCGGCGCGAGGCGGGGCGGGGGCGGGACCTGGGCCTACCGCGGCGCGGGGCAGAGCCGGCCCTGATGGGCAGGCGGAGCCTGCCAGCCGGCCAATGAAAGCAGCATGTGACCGGGCCCGCCTCAGGACGCTATGGCAACGCCCGTGAGCTACGGCGCCCAATTGGAGACCCCGCCCCCCGACGAAAGCAGGCCAATCGCAGCGCGACGCCCTAGGGAGGCGGGCCCGCGGCCCGTCGCGGTTGAGCGGGAGGCTGGAGGTGCCTGGGTAAGGAACTCACGTGACTCCTCCCCTAGCTCACGCATCCTCTCCCGGCCCCGCTGCGGCTGCGCGTGGCGTCTACGCCGTGACGTGAGCCTTGGGAGGACCAGGCTTTTTTTTTTAATCTCCTTAAAGGGCGGGAGCAGAAAGGTGACATTCTAGAGCAGCCCACGTGGCACAGGGCTGACCCCTGCAGTTGAGTCAGAAGCTGGATTCCAATCTGGCCCTCCCCGCCCCCCAGCCATCCCGGTGATGACATCAGAGGAAGTCTTTCTGCGTGAGCATCTGGGAAACGAGCTGGCCAATGAACTTACAGCTTGAACAGGAAGTTGGCCATACAATCACCACCCTAGCTCGCGACTCTGGGCTCATTAAAATATAATTAGCATTGCGGTTTCCTCCCCCTTAGAGGGCGAACGAGAGGCCCCCTGGGGAATCGCATGCGCCTTGACGCCTTGGGGGGTCTTTTCCGGAGTCGCGGCTCGCGGATTTTTTCCGTCTGCAGCTCCCGGACTCTCTTGCTCGGGCCAGGCTGCTGCCTCCCCCGGGGAGAAGCGCCCGCGGGGCCGTGAGCCCAGAGAGCCGCCTTCGCTCGGAAGTCTTCGGAGAGGACGCTGGGACCCCCCCCCGAGGCCCCGCCCCCACCCCACAAGGCTCCGCCCCCGCACCGGGACACACCCCCTTCCCCACGCCCCGCCCCTCCATCTCCGGTAAGGCAGGGAAGTTCCCCCCACCCGCAAGGTCCCTCTAACCGGGAACCCCCCCACACACACTCCACCCTCACCCTAGGGGCTCTGCCCCTGCCCGGCCATACCAGGTAAGCCTCCTCCTTCCGCCAGGTCTGCTCTCCCCCGAGTGTGGGTGTCCTGTGCTTTCAGCAGTGGGTCAGGCCCCTTCCATACCGGGGGACTTCCCCACTGGGGGGCCTCTTGCAGAGTTGGAAGAAATTTGGCCTCCAGCATCTGAAAAAGCAGCGGCTTAAGTTCTACTGCAACGTGGCCTGGCCTCAGTACAGCCTGAAGGGCCAAGAAGCGTGGCCCCTTTTCTGCTCCCTCCGCCCTAGCACCATTCTGCAGCTGGACTCTTCTGCCGCAGCCAAGGGAGATGGACGGAAGTCCTCTCTGTGCAGGCATTCAAGGCTCTGTCCGAGGACCCCACTCTGCGTGGGCGATGCGGAAGGAAAGAGCCAGACCTTCCAAGTGATCCTCCGGGGTCTGCTGCAGGGACCCCCCCAGGCGCCATCTTCCACCTCCAGGAGCAGTCCTAATCAGAACCCCCCACGGTACCCTCATCCACATCCACCTCCTTTCTGCTCCTTTGGCCCCTCAGTTGCCATCTTGCACCACTTCCAGCAGCCTAATCAGAGCCCCCATAGGGTCCTCCATATTCACCACCCTCCTCCCTCTCTTTGGTCCTCAGGACACCCTATCCTTAGCCCCTCAATGTAAGGAACGGGACCCCTCTCCATCCCCAGTCCCAACTCCTTGAATCAACACCTGCCCCCACGAAAATCTGCTTTTTGAGAGAGGTGGCCAGCAGGCAGGGAAGAATCATGAGGGTCCACGCTCCTTTTTCCATGGCCGATATCTTGGATTGGAGAAAATCTTGGCCGTTACTCTGGGGACCCCACCAAATTCGTTGAGGGCCTTCAGATCCTAGCCTTCCAATTTGACCTAATATGGAGGAACATTAATTTCATTATTTCCTCTTGTTGCACAATAACAGAGAAATTGGATTTGGGATCTGGCTCAAGAATTTGGGGATGATGTGATCAAGAATACCTCAAGAGGTAGATGCCCTCCAGGAGCAGGAGCAGGCCCAGTGTCTGACCCTGGTTGGGATTATCAGGAGGGCAGCCCTGACCAGGGAAAGAGAGACCATCTGCTGACCTGCCTCATCAGTGGGGATAGAGGGAAGACTTAGACATCTGCTCTGCCCTGCCAATTCAAGGACCTAGTGTTGAATGGCTCCTTTCCTGACCTCTCCTCCTGCCGGGCTCCCTTGGTGGTGAAATTGGGGGCCCAGTTCTCCCTCCTTAGATCTCCTGTGGAGATTTCAGCCCTTTGCACTAGACCACCCGAGATTTGCGAGGAAGTAGACTCTTCGGTCTGGGACCAGGGTGAGCTACCCATGCCACCCCGGCCTGCGTCCACCCCCAAGATGCCGATGAATTCCCCCACTGCTGCCCGAGAGGGGTTACAGATGCTAATTGAGAAGTTCCTCAAGTATAAGCTTCTGGTGCCCTGCCTGTCTCTCTACAATACTGTCATCCCCGGGCCAAAAAAGCCGAATGGGGAATACTACAGGGTGCAGTCCTTACCCAGGGGTGGCAACCCTGTGGCCTCAAGGCCACACATGGCCCTCTAGGTCCTCAGGTGAATCCAAACTTCACAGAACAAATCCTCTTACTAAAAGGGACTCAGGCAAAAGGCCTGAGGACCCTGAGAGGCCTCAAGTTCCCCACCTGGGCCTTACACCATCCTTGCTCAAATTCCGGGGGCCACCAAGTGGTTTTCCACTCTGGACTTTAAGGATGCTTTTGAATGGACTCCCCCAGGGAAACCCTCCCCCTAGGGTTCTGAGATATCCCCCACCTCTTTGATCAAGCTCTCGGGAAGGATTTGGGAGGCCTACGCCTGAGTGATAGCAGTCTGATCCAGTGCATAGATGACATACTCTTCTGCAGTCCAGCACAAGGGTCCTCCCTGGCTGCAGTGGCCCAGACCCTCCACCTCCTCAGTACAAGAGGATTATGGGGTCCTGATTGGGAAAAAGCCATAAAAACATAACGTGATGACAGGTGGAAGCCCAAACAGGCTGACCTGTTTAAAGTCATAACTTGGGTATAAAATTATATTTTAGACACTGAGTCAAAATTTAAGATACTGTGACCTATGAAAGCCAAAACAAGAATATTGTGGCCCATATGTGACTGAGACATGATCAATACACAAACTTAGGTTTGGCCGTAACATTGGCTTAACTCCCAAGCTCCTTACTAAGCAGGAAACCAAAAACAGCCACCGATCAGTAGTGATGCACTCCCTAGCTCCTCCTGCCTTTGTTTTCTATAATTACCATGGGGATTCTTAGGGTTCTGCTGGGGGGAGATCCACTGAACTGTCTGGCCACCACCCCAGACTGCCCTGTTTTGTAAGTGTTCATAAAGATTGATTAAACCACTACTTATAGTCAGTGTGGAGATACTTGGCCTTTACCTTTGGTGTCAAAAGAACACCCCGTGATTATGGGGGAGGGGTTACAGGGTTCCCCAGCCAGGGTGATTCCAGACCTTACAACTGGCATATTAATGCCAAGGGGGAATTGGGGCTAGCTAAGGGAAAAGGCTGGTGGCTGACATGGGGACAGCCCTTGCCCATGCCATGAAATGGAGCCACCACCAAGGCTCTTTCTCTGCCTCTCCCTCCCTCCCTGACTGCAGCAGCTTCAGAAGAGCAGGGGGATGGGAGAGAGAGGAAGAAAATATTTTCAGGATATGATTGGTAAAAGCATGTGGGAATGAGAGGAGCATGGGCAGAAAGAAAGGCATCACCTGTTTGCATCAACAGTGTGAATCAAAGGGGCATCTAGGTGGCACAGTGAATAGAGCTCTGGCCTTGGAGTCAGGAGGACCTGAGTTCAAATCCAGCCTCGGACACTTGACACTTACTAGCTGTGTGACCCTGGGCAAGTCACTTAACCCCAGTCGCCTAAGCAAAAACAAGAAACAGTGTGAACCAAGAGCTTGAGAATAAAGATTTGGAAACTTCTGAAAGAAAAAGTTGTCAATCTGTTTGTGTTCCTCTGTGTTTCTGCACTGTGGTCAGGTTCTTACCAGCCCTGGAATGATGGGTTTATCGTTTGACAGCTAGAGAAGAAGGTCATTTCACCGATAAGAGACAGGCAGATTTGGGGGCTGTGTCAGTAAAGACAGGGAAGAGGCTGACTTTGGAACAGAACTGGCACTTAGCCCTTTCCTGGCTTACAAAAAGGAGAAAGATTTTGGAATACTGTTGTGCTATATTAGATTAGTTGGAATTCAGAAAAACCTGGAAAGACTTACACGGACTGATGCTGAGTGAAGTGAGCAGAACCAAGAGAACGCCGTACACAGCGACAGCCACATTGTATGAGGACTAAATTTGACAGACTTAGCCCTTCTCAGCAACGCAAGGATCATGATAGAAAAGGCTATCCACATCCAGAGAAAGAAGTATGGAATTACAATGCAGATCAAAGCACATTATTCCTTTTTTCCCTTCTGTTTTGTTTTGTTTCCTCCTCCTTGTGGTTCCTCCTATTGATTCTAATTCTTCTTTATAACACGACTAATGTGAAAACATGTTTAATAGGAATATATATGTATAGCCTATGTCAGATTTGGCGCAGGAGGGAGGGAGAAACTTGTAAGATTCAAAAGCTTATGGAAGAGATTGTTGAAAACTAAAAATAATTAAAAAAAAAAGACGCTGCATCTACAGGTGTTTGGTCCTCACTTATGAAAGTTGTAAGATTGCTAACTAAGTTACTGGGGTTATTACTTTAATGTTAAAACCTAAAATTGGTCATGGATTACTGTGTGGAGAGGAGGGGATGAGGTGAAGCCTTATCTGGATTGGCTCTGTCCATTCAGACAGTCTTCCTTGGGGTATGAGGGTGTGCAGCAGGGTTGGTCTATTCCACCTTGTGGAGGGTGGGGGATCAAAGAGGATAGAC